TAGGGAATCGCCAAGAAACATACAGAAACCAGAAGTAGATTTACGATCATTAACATCACCAGCCCAATCAGCATCAGCATAAGCCACCAAGTCTAAGGAAGAAGTAGAAGAGAACAGCAAGCCCTGAAAGATAGTACTGCGAAGATAACGAAGAATCCGAAGCAAAGCAGCCCAATGTGTAGAGCGAGGGGCAGAAACAAACTGACTAATCACATGGACAGCATAGGCAAGATCAGGACGAGTAACTGTCAGATAGACTAAGCAACCCACAAGCTCGCGATATAACGTAGGATCATCTAGAGGAACCCCATCAGTAGTGTTGAGCTTTACATTAAGTTCAATGGGGGTATCAGACAGCTTAGTGTCAGTAAGTCTGGCACGATGGATAACCTCGTTAGCATACTTAGCCTGGGACAGAAAGTAACCCTTGGGAGAATAAGCCACCTCAATGCCAAGAAAATACCGCAATGGTCCCAGATCCTTCATTTCGAAGGTGCGAAAGAGATGCTGCTTGACCTCAGAGAGAGCAGAAGAGTCAGAACCAGTGATGATCATATCATCTACATATAGTAAGAGAGCAACAAAACCGGTCGAGGTATGTCTTGGAAATAAAGCAGAGTCGGAAGCAGAAGGATGAAACCCAAGCTCGGTAACAGCAGTCTGAAAGCGATCATACCAAGCACGAGGAGACTGCTTCAGACCATATAGAGCACGCCGAAGACGACAGACTTGGCCAGAGGAATGGTGAAGACCAGGGGGAGGACGCATATAAACCTCATCAGTGAGAGTGCCATTAAGAAAAGCATTCTTAACATCCATCTGATAAAGGGGCCAAGAACGAACAGCAGCGACAGAAATTAAAGTACGGACAGTAGTCATCTTGGCAACAGGAGCAAATGTCTCCTCATAATCAATACCATACTCCTGGGAGAAACCTTTGGCCACCAGACGAGCTTTGTAGCGCTCAAGAGAACCATCAGAATGAGTCTTGACTTTGTAGACCCATTTGCAACCAACTAGATTCTTACCAACAGGTAAAGGAACCAACTCCCAAGTACTTATTTTCTGTAGAGCAAACAACTCATCCTCCATAGCTTGAACCCAATGAGGATCCTGACAGGCCTCCTTGTAAGACTGAGGTTCTGCAAAAGAGTGAATAGCAGACAAAAAGGTACGATAGGAAGCAGAAAAACAAGTATTAGACCAACCCAACCTTTTTGGAGGGTGACACGCTCGAGGAGGATATCGGTGTGCAGCAGGATCAGAGTCGTCAGAAGCAGGAGGATCAGCAGCAGGGGTAGAGACAACTAGTAGAGGAGGAGCCTTGCGACGAGAATAAACTAACAACGGAGGAGAAGAAGAAAGAGAAGGAGAAGGCAAAGGAGGAGAAGTAGTCAGAGGTGAAGCAGAAGGAGAAGATGGAATAAGCTCAAGAGGAACTGTGGAGATGTACTCATCAGATGGGATCTCAGAAGGAAATGGATCAATATGAACCAAATCCTCTTTGGAAACTGGGGCGGTGAGGGGAGGAAGCTGAAAGTAAGATAGACGTTCGAGAAAGGCAACATGGCGGGAGACATAAAGGCGACGAGAAATAGGGTCATAACAGCGATAACCTTTCTGAGTGAGACTATATCCCAAAAAAATACATAGGACAGATCGGGCACTAAGTTTAGTCCTATCTTTACGGGGTAAAAGGACAAAACATGTAGACCCAAATACACGAAGGAGAGAGTAATTAGGAGGTTGAGAAAAGAGAGCCTCATAAGGAGACCGACCCGAAAGAAGGGGGGTAGGCATACGATTGAGAAGAAAAGCAGCAGTAAGAACTGCTTCACCCCAAAACGGAGCTGAAACGGAGGCAGAGAGAAGAAGAGATCTAGCTGTCTCAAGAAGATGACGGTGTTTACGCTCAGCTCGGCCATTTTGGGCAGGTGTATCAGTACAAGAGGTTTGGTGAATGGTACCCAAGTTGGCCAAATATTCACAGAATTCAGTTTTAAAGTATTCCCCACCCAAGTCAGACCGCAACAATTTAATAGTAGCTCCAAACTGTGTAGTGACCATAGACTGGAAAGTACGATATATTTGGTAGAAGTCAGACTTATGAGTCATAAGATAAACCCATGTATAACGGGTGCAATCATCTACAAAAGACACATAATATACTGAACCCCTTTTAGTAAGAACAGGAGAGGGTCCCCAAACATCAGTATACACAAGAGAAAAAGAAGAAACAGAAATAGATGTACTTTTATTAAAAGGTAAAGCTGACATTTTAGCAAGTTTACACCCCCGACATTCATCAATTTGACTAGGAGAAACTTTACCCAACAATCCTGACTGAGCTAAAGACCGTAAGCGGTCAACAGACAAATGACCAAGACGAGAATGCCATAAGTAAAACTGACTCGACTGAGAATCTAATTGAAACGAGGAAAGTGCAGCTGGAGAGGTAGATAAGGGGAGATGCAAGCTTTCAACCACATAGAGATCTCCAACTCTACGGCCAATCACAATCTGCTTCTTGGACACCCGATCCTGCACACAACAGACAGAAGAGGAAAAGATAACATCAAAACCAGACGCATCAAGTTGACTGATAGATAACAAACTGACAGATAACTGAGGAACATAAAAGACAGAAGGAATAGTAACAGCAGACATGGCAGAGGGTAAGACAGACCCAACAGATAAAACAGACATACCAGATCCATTAGCAGTATTAATAGTAATAGGAACGGGTGGGGGAATACAATTTTGAAGTAAGGAAAGGTGAGGAGTCATATGATGTGAGGCACCAGAATCAAAAATCCAAACAGAAGAAGGGATACCTGAAGAGGACCCAAGCAAACCTGAATGAAGAGAGGTAAGAGCGGAGGCAGATGGGGATGACTGAGAGGTGGACAAGATATGCTGAAGTTGTGCAACCTGAGCACTCAGGGAAGCCAAGTCAGGATCGGGAGCCGGAGTAGATGCAGTGTAAGCAGCAGGAGGTCGGAAAGTACTCGAAGTAGTACCGCGGAACTGTGTCTGAGAAGACGGAGCAGGCTGACGTCCCTTTTTAGGACAATTGTTCTTCCAATGACCCCTCTGATGGCAGAAAGCACACTCATCTAGCCCTAATGGTCCTCTCTTGGGTTTCGCAGTGGCCTGAAGTTGATGAGAAGGAGGGGTCGATAACAAGGGCGGCTTGGCAGGAGCCAAGAACACAGAAGGAGGCAAAGTCTGACTGGCAGTCTTAAGACGAGTTTCCTCGGAGAGGAGTTCACGAACAATAGCATCCACAGAGGGAAGAGGAGATCGGTGAAGGATGCCACCTCGAATAGCCTCATACTGAGGGGAGAGAGCTGTTAAGAACTGGACTAAACGACCCTGTTCCCGAAACTCAATATAAGCGTCTAATATCTTGAGACTAGGTGGTTCCATAAGAGCCAACTGATCCCAGAGACCTGTCATCTCAATATAAAAGTCCTGAATAGTTTGATCCCGCTGACGAGCACCCTGAATAGTTGTTTCCAACTCATACCGCTTGGCAAAATTGGACTGCTGATAAACACCGAGTAAATAATCCCACACTTCCTTGGCAGTACTGTACTTGGAAAACATCATTCCAATACGGTCATCCACAGAGTTATGAAACCAGGTAAGAACTTGGGCATTATCACAATCCCAAGTGTCACAGGAAGACAGATACCCTTCTACCTTTGGGTCCGATGGACGAGGAGCAGAACCAGAAACACAAGTATTAGACCAACCCAACCTTTGTGGAGGATGACGCGCTCGAGGAGGATATCGGTGTGCAGCAGGATCAGAGTCGTCAGAAGCAGGAGGATCAGCAGCAGGGGTAGAGACAACTAGTAGAGGAGGAGCCTTACGACGAGAATAAACTAACAACGGAGGAGAAGAAGGAGGAGAAGGCGAAGAAGGAGAAGTAGTCAGAGGTGAAGCAGAAGGAGAAGATGGAATAAGCTCAGGAGGAACTGTGGAGATGTACTCATCAGATGGGACCTCAGAAGGAAATGGATCAATATGAACCAAATCCTCTTTGGAAACTGGGGCGGTGAGAGGAGGAAGCTGAAAGTAAGATAGACGTTCGAGAAAGGCAACATGGCGGGAGACATAAAGGCGACAAGAAACAGGGTCATAACAGCGATAACCTTTCTGAGTGAGACTATA